GCAGACTCCAGCAGCTAAGATATATGAACCAAATCAATAGTGCCACAAGCATTGATTAATATACAATTAAACATTAATAGCCATTAATTTCTAAGCGAAGTATGACTGTGTCATTTTACAACCAAGAAAACAGAACTCAAAACTTAAGCCACCTGTTTCCACTGTGCCCCACAGTGGTCAAGAAAGCTGACTCAAGCTGCAATGTCTGTGGTCCAAGCCTGGCTTGGTTACTTGCTTTGCTGTTAGGCAATTTCATTAACCTCTGTGCCTCAACTGCAAAAAACAATCATAGTACTGACTTCAAAAGGTGGTTGTGAGGGCTTAAGGGACTCTTACTGCCATTTTTATCTATGTCAAGGTAACCTCGACCACTTTCCAGCTCTGCCTAGCTGGGGGCTCTCTAAACTGAAGCCCAAGGTACAAAAGACAATTCAGTTACTTTCTAGAAGCCTAGGCATGGGGTGGCCCTGCCCTGCTGAGCCCGTTTCCTATGGCACTCAAGTAGGAGGAGCTCGCAGGGTGATAAGCAATTCTAGCCAAGACCCTAGTCTCCCCCAGGCTAGTTTTTCCCTCACTACCTCTGTTCCCTGTCTCCCTGTGCCTCCCACTGAAGTCTGAGAAAATGTTTTCTAGGATGCCACCACTTCTGATCTCCCATTAGTTCATTTGGGCATGTACAGGCCACATGGTGGAAATCCTGTGCTGCCCCCTCCATAGAGCCCCTCCCCGTGGCTATGTGGCCTTAGTGCAGGCAAGGTAACTTAAACTTCCCAAGGGCTGCACCACCCACCTCAAGCAACCAAAAGACTCCTTGAAACTGGGTGTGGTGGTGCATGCTTACAACTCCAGCCCTCTGGAGGGCTGAGGCAGGAAAACAGCAAGTTTGAGCCCAGCCTGGACAACTCTGCAAGACCTTGTCTAGGAAGGTAAAAAGTCCTGGGATGCAGTTGATGTAGTTCCATTCAAAGGCCCTAGATTCAATCCCCATTACCACCACCGCCAAAAAGGAAAAGAAAAAGAAAAACAAAAGCCCACCCTGTGTAACATTGAACAATTGGCAAACAGAACTAGTTATCTTTTTACCAAATTGGAGACAAACGAGATAAACTAGGCTCCATGCTCTCAGCTCTACTAAACCACTAGTTTTATGATCCTTCAATTTATCCCAAGTTTTTTGGAGGGAAAGAGAAGAGAGGATCCTCACTGCTGTTTGTCTGAAGGAGCTAGAAACAACAAAATTTCTGAGTCTGACATGGAAGCCTGTCTGTCTTCTAAGTGGCAGCTCTAACTTCACTTTAGGTGCATTTAGAACAGGGTCTTTTAGAAATGGAAAACAAAGAGAATAAAAGCATCTGGGTGTGGCAGGGCATGCCTGGAATCCCAGCACTTGGGAGGCTGAGGCAGAACTGAGAGTTCAGGCCAGGACGGGCTATAAGACCCTACCTCAAAAAAAAAAAAAGTTTTAAAAAGCAAACTGTTGCCAAGCATGTCAGTGCATGCCCAAAATCCCAGTGCTAGGAGGCGGAGGCAGGAGGATCACAGAGTTGAGGCCAGCCTGGGGTACGTGAGGGAGTTCAAGGCCAGCCTGAACTACATGGTGAGGCCCTGTCTCAAAAGCACGCCTCCCCCCGCCCATAAAAAAACCCTCTCCCCTTCAAAGAGCAAACTGTTGATGCCTTAATTCTTTTTCTGTGAAAGATACTTCAAAAACACTAAACATTCAACCAAATAATTTACAGTATTGTTAAAAACCTGGGAGGCTGGTTTGAATTTTGCCACTCCCTCATTTTGGACAAATCTTGTCCCTTTTCTGGCATCCGGTTTCCTACCTGGTGAGACAGGCTAGATCAGATACCTAGGACTTCTGAGTGTTCTTTACACTGTGTTTTGGGGAGGGCTGTTTGGTTTATGCTTGAAAGGGAAAGACGTGACACACAAGTTCATCAAATTGGGTAAAACCAAGAACACTGTAGTAAGTTTCTTTAATACTGGATTAATAACATCAAGTGATTTCTTGAGGCTACAGAAATGCTTTCTGTGTATTCACTAGGGAATTGAGATGGAAAAAGGAAAATAACTGTTTTACTGGCTCAACAATGAAAAGCATTGCAGTTTATCTCTCTATCTACCGTGCTTCTGGCATCCTTGTTTCAAACACACCTTGTCCTTTAACTCTCGATTCTCTTAATTCTGTACAACACCCTCCCCAAAGCCCTTGTTAATGAGCTAACATTTGTGCCATTTCCTCCAGTGCCCTTGATTACCATTTAAATCTTTCAGAGTCCTTAAACTTTTCAAATGTAAGTAAGTGCCTTTGGGAGAAGGGGTTTTTCCTCCTTTCTTTCAAATACCACTGTAGGGACTCAGAAAATGTATGCATTTGTTTCAATTGGGACTTCAAGGCTGGTTATCATTTTGGTCTATTTCAAAATCACTCCAAATTGTAGGAGATGGGGAAGGGTAATCCCAAAGTGCTCCACTCCAGTGAACCGAACCAGGTTATCTCTAGGATTCCTTCAGCTCTGACATTACTGGACCACTTGAGTATGCTGTAAGCATAGGGCCTTAGGATACAGCATGACAGATAAATCTTTGAAGCTGCAGTCAGGAAAACTTAACCTGGAGAAATTTGGGTCTCTGTACTCCACTTAATAATAACAAGTGAAAATGGCTGTATTTACTACTTACTGAATTAACCTGATATCAAAGCTTGACCTATTTTCCTAAGCAGAGAAAATACACGTTTTCTTCACTGTGCTGTCTCTCAGCCCAAAACACTGTAGAGGCTCAAATAGTCTGATGATTCCAACAGCTGAAAGGGATCACAGTAAGTGAACTAAAGCAAACTTTCATTTCTGTAGGTCTCAGCTGCAGTTCTCAAAGGAAGGATGAAAATATAGTGCTGCTGCTGCCGATACAAGGAAACAGGACATGTTCCACAGTCAAAGAAGTTCAGCAAACTTAGCCAAGAGTGTGACTCTCCAAGGAGGTGAGGAAGACTCAGTGTGCAGCCTGAACTTACAGAAGCAGAGGGTTTTTCTTTATCCAGAGCATTTCTGAGATTCCCATTGTGCACAGCACCCTGACAAAGGTACCCCGATCTGCAAATAAAGGCAGACCCCTCACAGGTTTTGAACCGCTTATCCCATGCCCCAGTTCATCAGTTTAGGACAAGCTAAGATGCAGAGTGAGCCTAACCTCAAAGTCCTCAGAATTAACTACTATGCTATGCCAGCCTTTGTTTACTGTGAAATTCTTAAAAATTCTACCTGGGAGGAAAGTTTCAATGTGTCTATATTTTGGAGGAGTAAGCAAAGACTGCAAGCTATGGTTCCAACTGCAAGACTGGGGTCAATGAACTGATGGTAGAAAAGTGTTCGGGAAAGCAACTTCTAACACCCGTGTAGTGTTAAAATATTAAAGTCCAGACCATTTTTAACTACAGAGAATTATGAGAACAAGGAAGGGCCTATAAGTGACGAGCTCTTAGAACATAAGCAAGATAAAAGAGTCTCCTAGGGGAGACTTTTCAAAACAAGAGCTTCACCCCGGGGGGAATCATGGTTTTCAGAATCAGTGAGGTGGGGGATGGGTATAAAGGCAGCATCTCTGGAGAAAGGACCCCAGTGACAGAACTGTGCCATCCCATCCATTGTCAAACTGACTCAAAATGGACAAGGAATTCTCTTGGGATACTAGATAGTGGGATCTTAAAGGGAAGCTGGACAAAAGCTCCAAAAAGATTTTAGGAAACTGCCTCATGGTTTTTAAAAGGTCATCCTTAGGGACAGCAGGAGTACCCATGTGAGAGGCTCCAGGCCTTGAATAAGGACAGACCCAGTTCACATCACTCCAGCTATGAGAAGTACATAACATGGAAAGCAGCAGTTAAGAGTTCCCTTTCAAGCTGATTAACCTTACTCAAGTTATCCCCTCTAAGGCTTAGTTTCTCTACTCAAAGAAAAAGGATAGAATTTGCTTTTAACATGTATCTTAAATCACTTCAGCAAAGGGTGGTGGTGCTTTGTAATCTCAGTGGGTGAGGCAGGAGGATCTGAGGTTCAAGACTAGCACAGGCAATACAGTGAGTTCAAGGCCAACCTACACTTAGTGACAGCCCCAGGAGCGGGGGCACAGGCCCTTCGTGGGCAGTGCTGCCCTACCTTTGAGCGAGGTCTCCACCATGCACAGGAAAAGCTGTGAGCTCTTGTCTCAAAAAAATCTAAATACATACATACATCACTTCAGTGCTTAGACCATACCTGGACCTCAGATTAATTCGTCCCTTGGGTTCTCTGCCTCCAGACGCCTTCCTCACTTTTCTAGGTCACTGCCCCTTCTCTCTGAACAGATCCTTAGCTACTTTTAGTCCTCCCAGTTCGCTTTCCAGGCTCCCTGGCCTCAAGAAACTTGGCTTTCTTTTTAAGTAAAACTACTTTCTTTATAAGTAAAGTCACTTCCCAGCCAGCATCACAGGAAAAAGATTAAGAAGGTCAAATGGCGGGAAAAGATGTTGGATGTTGTTATGTGACAGGTCCAAGCCCACCTGTCAGGGTTATTATTATGCAAACCCCAAAGGACTGAGCCAGAAAACCGAGGCTTTGCTTGACTGCCCTAGGATGGAAGCCTGGGGATCTCAGAGGAAAGAGTTTTAGGGGTGGGACTGGCGAATGTCAGGAAATTTAGAACCAGAAAGGACGAAAGAGAAGTTTTTTGTGTGTTTGAGGAGGGAAAAAGAAGAAGCCCTAGACAGTGGGAAAGCTCCGCAATTCTGCCAGTTACTGAATACATACTAAGGTAATAGCACTTTAAATGAGCTCTTCTCACGGAAACTCCCCTAACTTTTTGGGCAGGACTGGGTCCCAAGAAGGTGGCCCCAAAGCCAGGGCAGGGGAAAGAGGGCGTGTCAGGGCCATGGTGTCAGGAGCAGCACCCGGGTCTAGGGGTCCGACGGCCCCAGGAGCGGGGTCGCAGGCCCTTCGTGGGCAGCGCGGCCCTACCTTTGAGCGAGGTCTCCACCAGGCGCAGGTAAAGCTGCGAGCTCTTGTTGCCGTGGCTCATGCGCTGGGCGAGCCCGTTGCGCTGCAGGACGCACTCCTCAAACTGTACGACATTCTGGTGGCGCCGCTTGAGGCTGGTCAGGGCCCAAAATTCGGCCAACGCCAGCTCCACGTTCTCGGGGGCATCGCAGCGGATCTTCTTGACCGCCACCCGGGCCCCGCTGCGCCCGGCCACTGCCTCGTAAACCACGCCGTAACTGCCGCGCCCGATCTCCGCCAACAGGCTGTAGCGGGGAGGCGTAGACCCGCTGCCACCCTCGGGCCGCCGCCCCTCCAGGTAGGCCTCGCCCGGGGCCTCGGCCACCACTGGATCCATTGCCTGGGCCGCAGCCGCCGGCCTCAGCTTCGCGCTGGGCGCCCTGCGCGCTGGGCTTCGCCTTTTCCGCTCCGGGCTTTGTGTACCTCGACGGGCGCCGTCGTCCTCCCCCGTTTCCATGGCTGCGGGCGGCGGGGGGAGCAGCAACGGTGCTGCCCGGGTCCCCACTGCCTCATCCCTTCGTCCGGCCCCGGCACGCGGAGGAGCGGGACCTTGGATTGTGACCTGTGGACGAAAAAAGCGGTTAAACAACCAGGCCGAGACGGGTAGGCAAGGAGCACAAGCAGCGTAGAGCCCCACCTCCTTCTACTCCTCCTCCGACCGCCGCGGCCCCTTTAAGACGGAAGCTACCGCCGCTGACTGAACAGAGAGGGGAGGGGAAAGCGGGAAAGACGGAACCACTGAATGGGGGTTCAAACAGAGAACCGGAAAGAAAAGCAAGGGCCACTGGCCTTCTCCGTTTATTTATCAGGAGGGAACAGGAAAAACAAAAAACGAGAGGCCTTCGGTATTTAGGAAAATCACCCAAAGGCGCTATTCTGATTGTTTAAGTCCTTTTCCCTGCTAGATCGGCTCTGACAGCCCCCTCCCGACGCCCTGCCTTACGTCCTCCGGGTGTAAACAGTCCATTGAATTAAGCCACTGCGGAGCCCGACGGGCCGACCCAAGTCCCCCAGGGTAGCGGGTAGAGGAGATTGGCTGAAAGTTCCACCTCGCGCAGCGCGACGCACCGAGGACCCCGGTGCCCGCCCCGGCGCCGCGGGAGCGGCGGGTAGCTTGGGCTTCGCGGCTAGCCCTTACCTGGCCGGCGCCGCTCCACTTCCGGGCGGCGCGTTTGCCTCCGGGAGCCCTCGCCGGGAAATGGTCCGCTCCGAGCCGGGGCCGCCCCCGGGACCGAGCGGCGCGGGAGGAGGTGGCCCGGGCCGGGCGGGCGACAGGCTGTGGGCCCGCGGCGGCGGCGGCGGCGGCCCTCGCGGAGGAGGCCCGGGCTCCCAGGTTCCCGTGGCCTTCCACGTGTTCGCGCCAGCTGAGCCCTTTACATAACCGCTTTACATAAGCCGCGCCGCCAGCCGCCGCCCGGGTCAGCGGGGACTCCTGGTGGCCCATCCCCAGGGAGGCCAGCCGCGCTCGGCGCCGCCCAGGCCCAGCCAGGGTCGACGGAGCCGCCGCAACCCGCGCACCCGGACGCCGCGCCGCGGCCCAATCACGGGCGAGAACACCCGAGCAACAAAAAATAGGCGCCAAACTCCCGCGACCTGCCGAGGCCTGCGACCCGCCGAGGCCTGCGTCCCCGCAGCCTCCGCGCACCGCAACCTTCTCTCCTGACCTGCGCGAGGATCAACCGCCCACACTGGGGGGGCCTAATAAATACTGATTGGGTGATTGGATTTGCTGGCGTGATTGATTGAGGGCTTGGGCCTGGGAACCTCAGGGACTGGTTTAGAATCCCTATCTTCACTCCTAGGAAAAATCCTATTCGCCGGGTGTGGTGGCGCACGCCCTTAATCCCAGCATTTGAGAGGCTGAAGCAGGAAGATCCCTCCAGGGTTGATAGGACCAAATGAAATAAAATAAACTGGGCATCGTAGTAAATGCCTGTAAATCCAGCCGCCTGGGAGGCTGATGCAGAACGATCGTAAATTTGAGCCCAACTCGGGCAACCTAGCAATTTAGAGGCCCAGTCTCCAAATTTAAAAAGGTGGGGTGGAAGCCGGGCGTGGTGGCGCAACCCTGTAATCCCAGCATTTGGGAGGCAGAGGCAGGAGGATCATTGCGAATTCGAGACAAACCTGGGCTACAAAGTGAGCTCAAGGCCAGCCTGAACTGCATAGTGAGACCCTGTCTCAAAAAGACAAAAAAAAGGGGAGGAGGTGGAGTGGGGATGTAGCTCAGTGCAAAGGCTTTGGATTTAATCCCCACTACCACACACTAATTAAGTAGTAAGGCTGTTGAGTGTGCACTGATGATGCTCAATGTAAACTCCATAGAGGCATGAATTGTGCATATTTTGTTTTGTGCTTTATACTCCAAAGCTTAGTAGGGTGCCCAATATTTAATTGAATTTACAGATATTTGTTGAATGTCTACAATGGACTGGGGACCATTCTAAGTCTAGGGAAAATCAGTCCCTGCCTTACTTGAGCTTCCGACACTTTAGCAAATAAATCATGGGTGATTGGGGACAAGGTAATCAACCTTGTATCTTTTCGTAGAGGTTATGTAGTTAAAGCGCTTAGAAGAGGACAGGATTTTGCATACAATAAACATCAAGTAAATGCACAAAATTTTTTTTTGTAACTGATGTAGAAAAAAGGAACTAGATAGAGCTCTTGCCTTGCAGTGCACAAGGCCCTGGGTTTGATCCCCAGCACCATCACCAAAGTTTCAGTGTTTTGAAAACTAACCCCCCCCCCTTGGTTTTTTTGAGACTCAACAATCTTCCTGCCTCAGCCTCTCAGAGAGCACTGGGATTACAGGTGTGTGCCACCATGCCCGGCTTTACCCAGGATTTAATTCAGGATTGCTTGCTGGATTTACTTTTTATCTCTGTAGTTTCCTTTAATCTGGGAAGGCAGTTAGTTACTGCCTTTGTCTTTTGTGACCTCGGCATTTATGGAGTGTATTGGCAGATTGTTTTGTAAAATGTCACTAAATTTGGAATTGTTTGATATTTTCTTCTGATTAGATTTAGAGTATTCACTTTTGACAAAAATGCTACTGAAAGAAAGTTCTGTCCTTGATGCCCCACATAAAGTAGCACATATGACGTCGACTTATACCAGCCTTGCTGATGTTGACCTTGATCCTTTGTTAAAGTGATGTCTGCAAAAGTACTCCACTTGCCAGGGATATCGCTCAGTGGCACAGCGCCTGCCTGACAAGCACAAGGTCCTGAGTTTGATTCCCAGTACAAAAAAAAAAAAAGTACTCCACTAAAAAGTTATTTCCCCCATTTGTAACTACTAAATATCTTGAAAGAAAACATTTTGAGACTAAATACTGTGTTCTTCATTAGTTTCTGGTTTTAGTATTCATTGATGATTCTTGAAATAATTGTTACTTAGTGGTTGCAAAATGGGAATTGGAAGACCTTTACATTTGGTTTGCTAGGACTTCCATAACAACATACCACAAACTTGGTGGCATAAAAAGCAGAAATTTATTTTCTACTAGTTCTAGATCCTAGGCATCTGAGATAAGGGTAGGTTTGGTTTCTGCTGAGGCTTCCCTCTTTGACTTGCAGACATCTGCTTTCTTGTGTCTTTACATGGTCTTTCCTCGTGAGAATCCTTGGTGTCTCTTCCTCTTCTGGTTCAGTATGATGCCAGTCACACTGGATTAGAGTCCTCATTTTAGTTAATCACCTCTTTAGAGATCTGATCTCCAAATTGGGTCACATGATAAGTTACTAGGATGTGTTCTTCCATGTTTGAACTTGGGTGGCTGGAGGGGCGCAATTCAGTTCCTAACAATCTCTTTAGAATATGACGATGAGCTGAGATTTGACTGTCAGAGGCCAGCCATGCCACCAGTATGGAAGATCATTCCAGAAAGAGGGAACAGCAACTACAGATGCCATGAAATACGTAAACTCCAGCAACTGGTGAAGCTATAAAATGGTTCCACTGCTTTGGAAAAAACAATGCGGTAGTTTCTTTCAAAATTAAATATACAGCCAGGATTGGTGGTACATGCATGTAATCTCAGTATCTAAAAAGATGAGGTAGGAAGATTGTAAATTTAGTGGGACCCTGCCTCAAAATAAAAAGGACTGGGGATGCTCAGTGTGAAGACCCTGGGTTTATTTATTTATTTTTATTTTTATTTTTTGTCTTTTTTGAGACAGGGTCTTACTATGCAGTTCAGGCTGGGCTTGAGCGCACTTTGTAGCCCAGGCTGGTCTTGAACTCCCAATGATCCTCCTGCCTTAGCCTCCTAAGTGCTGGGATTACAGGTGTGCACCACCACACTGGGCTGAATTTTGAAGAATTGTGTATGGAATCATCCAGTATGTATTCTTTAGTGCTTGGCTTCTTCCATTCAGTTGCTTTTAAGTATTAGTATTTTAGCTGGGTGTGGTGGTACACATCTGTAATCCCAGTACTTGGGAGGCTAAGGCAGGAGAATCATTTTGAGTTTGAGGCTAGCCTAGGCTACAAAGTGAGTTCAAGGCCAGCCTCAACTGCATAGCAAAACCTTATCTCAAAAAGACACACAACAAAGTGTTAATATTTTATTCCTTTTTCTGACTGTATGGAAACAGTACAATTTGTTTGTACATTCATTTATTGATGAACATGGCAATATCTTCCAGTTTGGGGCCCTAATGAGAAAAGCCACTAATGAACATTTCTATATAAATTTATTTGTGAATATAATTTTTCATTTATTTAGGGTAAATACCTAGACATGGAATTGCTAGCCTAGAGGCAGATATACTGTATATTTAACTTTTTTTTTTTTTCAGTACTGGGTGTTAAACCCAGGGTCTTAGCTGGGCTTGGTGGTGCATGCCTGTAATCCTAACACTTGGGAGGCTGAGGCAGGAGGATCATTGGGAGTTCAAGACCAGCCTGGGCTACAAAGTGAGCTCAAGGCCAGCCTGAACTGCATAGCCCTGTCTCAGAAGAAAAAAAAAAAATCCATTTCTTCCAATCAAGCTTTGGGGAGGGGCAGTACTGGAGACAGAGCTCAGGGCTTCAGGCAGCCTAGGCAGATGCTCTACCACTGTGCTATGTACTCACCCCCTTTTTATTTTTGAGACAAGGTTTTGCTAAATTACCCCAGACTGGATATGGTGGGGCACACCTATAATGCCAGCTAAGGCAGAAGAATCATAATTTTGAGGGCAGCCTGGGCTTTGTAGTGAATTTAAGAGCAACCTGAACTACATAGCACAACCATGTCTCAAAAAATGAATTAAAACATTACCTAGGCTAGCCTTAAACTTTCGGTCCTCCTGCCTCAGCCTCCTGAGTGGTTGGGATCATAGGTGTGCATCACCACAACCACCCAATCCGCCATGTAAGGAGGAATAGAAAGCATTAGAACATGAAATGTTTTTGAGTGATGAAATATGTTCATTATCTTGACAGTTTCTAGGGTGAGGTACATTAAAATGTCTCAATCACAAAATAAATTAAGATTAAGCTGGGCATGGTGGTGCACACCTGTAATCCCAGCACTTGGGAGGCTAAGGCAGGAGTAGTGCTGTGAGTTCAAGGCCAGCCTGGCCTACATAGTGAGTTCAAGACCCTGCCTAAAAACTATATAGCAAGACCTTGCCTAAGAAAACAAAAACAAAACAAAACAAAAATGCCTCAAATTATACACTTTAATGTGTTTAGTTTATGTGCTTCAATTCTACAGGCTCATCTCAAGAGCTAGAAAAATAGGGGGAAAAGAATGTAGTCTTACGGGCCAGGGGTATAGCTCGGTGGCACAGTGCCTGCCTGGCAAGCATGAGGCCCTGAGTTCAATTCCCCATACCAAAAAAAAAAAAAAAGGTAGTCTTTTATTGTCTTATTATGGAAATAATTTATTATAGAAACATTTGGAAAGTGCAAATAAATAGATGAAAATCACAACCACCCTATCTAACATAATCATTGTTGAAATCATGGTTTTATGATCATACATTTAAAAAAATGAAATTCAACTGTTTCCTATTCCTTTTTACCCCCATTTTCCTCAGATTATTTTCTTTATTAGTACATGTTTGTAGTACGTAATGTTTATATGTTTATGGGGAGGTGGTCCATGTAATAAAGCATCTTAATTCCTTTTTTCATCCCTTTTCCCTCCCCTCCCCACTTTTTCCAGCTCTTGATCCCCTTCCCCCTACCTACCTACTCCCTATCTGGGTGGAAATCGACTGCTAAGGGGCACAGAGTTTTCTGGAGCATGAAAGTCTATTGCAGCAAGTTATATCACAATGAAGTTTGTTTAAAAGGTGAGAAGGCAAACGAAACCTTGAATAGCCATGAACACTTGTGTCTTGGAGGTTTCTAGGACAGGAGGCTGTGCTGTATAGCCTGGCCCCATTCCTTCCACCTCTGATTCCATAGGTTAGATGAAGCTGGGTGTGTCTCTCTTCCTGGATACTTTCCTCACCTGAGTTTTAAGAGACTGGATCCAAAGCTCTGAGAAATATTACAAGGGTGTATGTCTCGGTTACTTTTCTCTTGTTGCTGGGAAAAAATATCTGACACCCAAAATTAAGGAAGGAAAGGTTTATTTAGCTCATAGTTTGTGGGGGTTTCAGTCCATATTTGGCTGGCTCCAAGGCAGAGTGGTACGTGGCAGAGAGCAACAATTCATGGCGGTGGAAG